GTGATGCCTCCGTGACTAGTTTCATTGTCTCTGTTCTCAATTTAATATCAGTGTAGTCAAATGTCCACCAAACAAAGGTAGGAAACCAGTTTAGGTAATCCACCACTCCTACTGCTTCTGATTAAATGTTAAGTTCGGCATTGGTTTACACCTTCTCAAAGTGTGGTCCTGTACAACTCATTATCCTCTTTGTTGTAAATTGGAAATAGTACTGAGTATAATTTGGATCTTTGGGTTCTGTTCGGCTGGTCTATAAGCCGCTTGTGCTGATTTGTACGACTGATTTGTTGGGAGTGAAAAATAATATACCATATAATGGCAGCCAAACAGAGCCTTGAGTATGCATTTGTGTTCTAATTCAATCTCTGCTCTGACACTGTTATGCAATTGCTTCCCTGTGAAAAACTCACTGATTATTTTCCTCCTACTTCAGGGGCATTTTGGTCATTATACATGGGTTGAATGAGCACAGGTTAGGAAATTCTGTTATGTTCGTTCTCCTCCCCATCATTTTTTTTTCCAGGAATGTCCAACAACTTGCTGATGTATTTCTATGCACTTGATCCTGCGTTTCCAGTGGAAGGTACTTGCACTTTGCTGATCAGCTGACAGCATGTGGTTTTGGAGTATACGCAATGGATTGGATAGGTACAGAGCACTGTTTTTGGTTTTCTGAACTTGCATATGTTTTCTGAAATATGTATATATAGTTTGGTGAAAGAATTGCGCTGCATTTAGAAAGGAAGAATGGAATGTTGATCTTACCTAATTATTTCACCAAAAAGTGACATGCACCTCCTGTTTCCCTTAAAAAAAGGATTCGAACAACAATTTATATCAACTTTTAGTTTTTCATTTTATTCACGAAAGTGTATTTTATCTCGTGGATCATGTAATCTAACTAACAGTGTGTTAGTTATTCGGCATGGGCAATGTTATGTTATATCAATCTATTTACAGCCAAATATTAGCTTTTAACTGTGTTCAGTATACTTAATGTCTTTGGGTAAAGTCTTCATACTTGTAAACTATTCACACTTGCTAGTAACTTTAGGCCAGATTTTGCAATCTGTATTTCCATGTGAGCATGTCTATTTAGTTTTTTTTTTTCAATACACAAGAGGCTAAACTCTTGTTTCTTATGCATGACGACAGGGCATGGTGGAAGTGATGGCCTGCACGGCTATGTGCCTTCACTAGATTACGTTATCGAAGACATTGTGAGTTTATACTTCTGACGACTAGTCCATCTTATTGTTCCCCATGTAATGCTTGATTAACATTATCATCTGGAAACAGGAGGTGCTTCTTGACAAAATTATGATGGAGAATCCAGGGGTCCCCTGTTTCCTCCTCGGTCACTCCACTGGAGGGGCTGTAGTCCTGAAGGTAGGCAATGTGAAGCTAGATAGTTTTTTCATCAGCCTATTTAGGCCAGATTTAGACACTGACCCTACTTCTCTGGGCCTGTGAACAACGGATACCCTGACGGGGCAGAGAAATGGTGCAAAACGTTAACAAAGTAGCCTGGTTGAAACTTGAAAAATGGTTTGGCTGCATGCATAAGCTCATTTTACATGCCTGATGCTATTATCTTGATTGTGCTCATCGCTGGCTTACAACTTGGCAGGCATCTCTGTACCCTCATATCAGAGAGAAACTGGAAGGCATCATTCTGACTTCACCCGCGCTGCGTGTGAAGCCTGCTCATCCTATTGTTGGGGTAACGCAACTACTCTTGTTTCCTGCTTACCATGAACTGGTGGTGATTAAGTCTGTATTGATTTGGGCCGAAGAACCTAACTGAGGTCTTTCTTTCTCTGATCACGTCAATTCAAATGCAGGCTGTGGCGCCGATCTTCTCTCTGGTGGCGCCCAAGTTCCAGTTCAAAGGCGCCAACAAGAGGGGCATCCCGGTTTCCCGCGACCCTGCCGCACTGCTGGCCAAGTACTCGGACCCGCTGGTGTACACGGGGCCGATCAGGGTGCGGACGGGGCACGAGATCCTGCGCATCTCCTCCTACCTGCTGCACAGCCTGAAGAAGGTGACCGTCCCGTTCATGGTGCTGCACGGCACCGCCGACCGGGTGACGGACCCGCTGGCGTCGCGGGAGCTCTACGGCGCGGCGGCGTCCAGGCACAAGGACCTGCGGCTGTACGACGGCTTCTTGCACGACCTGCTCTTCGAGCCCGAGCGCGACGAGGTCGGCGCCGAGATCATCGGCTGGATGGACGGGATGCTCCGGCTCCGGCGGCAGACCGGATGAATGGCCGGCCGCAAGGGGGCAAGAGCAAGGTGGGGGTTCGCAGCACGGTGGTTCCATGGACGCCGTGTTGTGTCTCGGTTCTTGGTGGTGTCTCTTCATAGTGGTATATCTATAGATTTGTGTACGGAGATGGATGCATTTGTGTTCTGTAACTACAGTACGTGTCTATCTATCTAATAACAGTGGGAAGAGGAGTATGGATTGTTTGTTTTGGTGTCGTTTCTTGTCAGTTTTTGTGGTTACATTGGATTTATCAATCATTTATGGGCAGATATGCATAAGTCTGTTCACTTGGTCGTAAACGATCGTGGATTATAAGCCAGAACAGTATTTTTCTCTCACACCAAACCAGCCAGCAGTAATAATTCACGATTTGTTTCAGCCGAAACGACAGGCTGATGAACTTACAGGTAGTCGAGGGACTCTGACAGGAGACCATCCCACTAATTTAGGGTATTAAGTATAGATTAATTATAAAATTAAATGCACTGAGACTACTTTGTGAGATGAATTTATTAAGTCTAATTAGTCCATGATTTGATAATATGGTGCTACGGTAAACATGTGCTAATGATGGATTAATTAGGCTTATAGATTCGTCTCACGAATTAGCCACGACTTATACAATTAATTTTATAATTAGCTCATGTCTGATCCTTCTAATTAACTCCCGAACATCTTATGTGACTAGGGCTAATCAATCAAACACCGTTCCAAATTGATTGGAACAGCCAACGCTGCACGATCCAGACTTCCAGAGGTACAAGTACAACAACACATCCTCCATTCCCCAACAGCCGAGCAAGTCATTTCGCTTCGCAGTACCATCTTGTTAGCAGCAGGCGAGGAAGGGAATAAAGGAATCGGAGTTTGGGGGAAGGAAGCAGAGCAGAGGACAACGAACAGACGAATCTCGATTCAGTTGGGAAGATAGTTCATTACAATGTTCATGTCTCCTCTCTCAGACTAACGCCTACTCAAGGGGCAGAGCTGTGCACGCCTCTCTCGCTCGTTCGCTTGCTCACGCGTGCTGCCACTCTGGGCCGAATAAGCGCATGCTCTTGGTCTTGGGCTTGGGCTCCCGGCCCATTCTTCCATCTACTTCAGCTGTGCCTCAGACTCCTCCTTCAGCCGTGGTTGCCTGATGGTGAATAGGTACGATGCTGACACACCTTGTGCCTCATCAGGCTCATCGAATCTATTTCAACACCTGTCAAACTACGGTACGAAGTTTGATTCTAAACGTATTTGTATCATAACAAGCTATATATTTCATTGCAACATAGGAGACGAATACATTTGCTAGTGAAAACCTACTGGCCATGTACTCTCTATGTCCCAAAAATAATATCATTTTTGCTTTTCCATGTGTCAATAAACTTACTGTCCCTGTCATAGAAAGAACACAATTCTCACACATCAAGAAAAAATAGTACATAACAAAAAAAAGCATATATACTTACTCGTTTTATTATCCAACAAATGCTACACTTATAAACTCTGCTTTATAACATTTGACATCTATATAACACGTCTTTTTAGAATACCAACCACGCCTACTCATAAACTAGAGCTGGATTCGTTTTAGAACACTATTGAGTGCTAGAATTGCATTCCTTTTTTTAGCACGAATGGAGTATACAACACGGTACTAATTCTTAGAAATTTTGATTTACTCCAGATCTAAAGTGTCATTCTCTTTTCGGACGGAGGCAGTACTAGCAAATCGATTTACTGTCAAACGGTGACACAGTGACACACTCACGCACGCAGGACTACTCCAAAGAATCTCATCGACGACACGTTTCGAGGCCGCAGCATCTGAGACGACGCCTGCGTGAGACGTGCCGACAAGCTTGATAGACCTGTAGTACTCCTGCCTCGGGTCACCGCCGATCACCATGTCGAGCGCCAGTATGCTCGCCACGGGTAACAAGCCGTCGCCGTCGCCGTACACCACCTGCGACGTCTCGCTGAAGTTGCCGTCCCAGTACACCAGCTGCTCCATCGTGGCCACACCGACGCCGTTGATGCAGGTCGTCGGCACCACCGGCGTTGGGGGGCTGCGACGTTGCGCAGCGCTAGAGGACGGAAGGGAGGAAGAGCAGCAGCCGGTGGAGGTGTGTAGCCATGGCGATGGACAGCGCGCGGCGCGGCTGCCTTGCCTGCTACCGCTAGCGCCTAGCAAAAAACACAGATGCCAAAAGTGGTTTGGTTTGGTTGAAAGATACGACTATACTGCATTTGGAGGACTATTTGCGTGGACAGGATGAGTGGCGTGTTAATCTGTCATTTATCAACGATAGTTGTTGCCACTGTGTACTACCACTTCCGCTTCACTTTCAGTCTTTCAGAGCGAGCAGTGACAAAGCTAGAGGAAGTTGAAGGATGGTGCACTTGTACCGTAGAACCATAGACTTGTGTCATAGACGATGCATGTATGGTGAAATTCTAATCAAAATAACTAATTTTCCTGAACACCACCCCCCACAAGACGGCGAATGAAGTACGTAGGGATAGATATCCATCGATAGCTAAATATTAGGAGTAATTTATGTCATGTCATTAGGGCATAAGATTAACAGATTTCACAACAGCCACTCAGAACACACACATTGAGTGGTCCAACTAATTCCAGCTAGGCAAACTAGCAGAGTACTGATACGACTACAACAAAGGGCAGCAGGTTAAGCTAGATAGTTAGGAACGAGCACCTGCACCTGGCTGTCTCCATTAGTGGATATACGGGATCTGGTACTGAACTGGGTAGCCATTACCGTAATAAGGTCCGTGGGCAGGTTGCATGGTGTAAGACGCTGAGCTCACCATTGGAGGAAGATGAGCCTCAGCACCATACACAAACTGCCTCTCGTAGGGATTGGAGGGATGCCTCTCTGGGGTTGCTGGGTAGAAGCTCTTGTCAGCAAAGCCTGTAGCACGGTGTGCAAAGGCCGATCCATTGGCACGAGGCCGCTTGGACTGTGGCTTTGCTGCTTCAACAGCCCTCCTCTTGTCTGCCTTTGCTTTCTCTAGCTGCAAAACCCTTTTCTGAAGTGGATCCACAGGGTACTGCTCCTCAAGTTTGTGCTCTTCAATGCATTTAATGACAGATTTCAGTGCAGACAACTCACGTTCATTCATCTCATTCTGAAAACACAAGTGGCCATTAGTTAACATTAAATACTATGTATTATATGTCAAACATTTAAACAAAGGCATATGCTCACAACCACACATAAAAGAGAATAAAAAAGTAACACGAACTGCCACAGCTAATCGCGGTACTCCCTCCGTCCCAACATAACTGCACATTTTGCTTATCTCGCTTATCGAGGAGTCAAACTCTTCTAAAGTTTGACTAAGTATAGAAAATATTTGTATCTCCAAATAAGTTTATAATAAAAGTACATTCCACAATCAATTTAATGATACTTATTACACATCATAGATATTAATACTTTTTTATATATATTTAGTCAAAGTTAGAAAATTTTGACTCCTCGATAGATGTGCGCTTATTTTGGGACAAAGTACCAGATAAAAACTGCAAGAGCAGCTAGCAATTACTAATCTATTGAAAGCAAGCTAAGCTAGCACTCAGCAATCTCGTATATTACTTCTCCACAACCTAACTGAAGCTCTGTGACAGCAAGGTTCAAATACCAAATCACTTCAGAATTAATTTCTCCTCTATCAACAGTTGACACAATTCGTCGCCCTTTGGGAACGTCTTCAGCATGTACACCTCAATGTGAGCACAGCTGATCATATCTAGAGGACGCTCAACACCAATGGTGAATATTCGACAAAATCAGCTTACATGGTGCAATTTCATGGATCGATACACTGAGCTAGAGATGAATCAGTGGTACGCTTGCTTGCACATTGCCAATACAGGCAACAAGTTTGGTCTGCATTGAGGACTTGGACCAATGGACAGTTCCCTCACCCATCGGGCTGGGCTTGTTAAAGTCATTCAGTTGTTGGCAATCCTGGTGGCATGGGAGAACTGGAAGGAACGCAATGCTAGGATTTTTCAGCAACATCATTCCACTCAGGAAAGCTTGATTGCGAAAAACAAGGAGGAAGCAAGGACCTTGTGCCTTCCAGGAGGTTATCTGGAGCAGTCCTGTAGTGGAGGTCTATGACTTTACGCACCCCCCCCTCCTTTTTGAACTTCTATTCCATGTTTAAACTAACTCTTCTTTATTAATATATGCTGGCCATAACTCCTGCTGATCGTTTCAACAAAAAAAAATGCAGCAGAGACTTCTTACGGCTAACCAAAACATAAAAAGTACTAGTATTCAGGAGTGATATCAAGTTGTGGTCGCAACATCAGAGCTCTCCACTGAGGGTGTAATGACTGGTCGGCGGTCGCTTTGGCATAATAAGACTATAAAAGGTATGTAAGATGAGAAACAAACTGAGATAACCTTAACATGCTTTCATCATTGTATGCCGGTGTTTCAAGATTTGAATGATTCCAAAATTGTGTGGAGCTAGTTTCAACTTACAACATATAAAGGAGGAAATAAACACATCATTCCCTTTAAAAAAATATTGGAAAACATTCCCGAAAGGAAGCAACTATTCTAGCCTGTTTCTTGATAAAATAATTAACCACAGCATGAGAAAGTACTCAAAAAGAAGGCTGAGCAGGGGAAAATTATAGTATGCTAGTCCATTATGCCAATGAGCAAAATACCTTATTAGACTCCTCAGATAGGAAGGAGCCTTCCTAACAAAATTCACAGGTTTTGAAGCTGATGGTTTGGTTATGTACAGGGGCAGTTTTTAAAATTCTACTACAGAAAAAACATTACAAAATTTAAAACTACAATGACTAAAATGTACCTGTGCCCCAGGAGAAACTTTGACATTCCTGGCATGTGACACTTTCTTAACATCCCTCAGATATGCTTTAAGCAGTTGCACTGGTTCAAACTGTTCAGTAAGCTCGAACACGTAAGCCAAATTAATTGCATCAATAGGTCTTCCACTTTCCACCAGAACTTCAATGACACCTGGATTTCAAGAAACTGCATTAGTAAACCACTTATGTTGAAAGAGAAAACCTTGTAATATATGAAAACTAAAAATAAAATATAGAAAGGTAAAATTACAGAGGAAAATGGAAAAATAAAAAAGCAGCAGAGCAGGGAAAAAGCTAACATGAAAAAACAATGGTGAATACATTGTTAGGCTTGTAACTGAGAAAGATACAAGATGACAGCATATTCTGCAATCAAACTTTTCTTGTCATACTAGAAAGGAATATTTCACATTTGTAGAGAACTATGATGCACCCACACTTCACTTTGTCAGCATATCGGTGTCCAATGCTGCATTGGACACAGATACGCTGCCAACACATATCTACAGACTTTCGAATAATTAAAGCCCAAAAATAAGAAATTTTATTAACAGACACTTCAGCAACATGGCCAGCTTGACAAGCAACCCCTCCTCCCTGGACAACCCTGATCCCCACACCTCATTACACTCGCCCCCACACTCAACTGCACCTGCAGGTAGACGCCACGGCATCTCTGGTCTCTAGCTCGATTCAAGAACTCCCCTCCTCGTATCGACACAAGACTGCTGCTCCTCCACAATTTGGCTTGGCCCCTTGATTCCTTGCAGATTCCCATTTATAGGATTGGTGAGGTCCTTTTCATCCTCCCAAATGCCAATGTGTTTCTATCCCCCATTCTTCTCATTTGTTTTCTAGATCTTGAGTGCTTAATTATTTCTTTTCTTATTTGTTCGTTTTTTCTTGCTAAGATAATCCAATATACAAAGTGATCGAATAGAGGGGCAGAATAATGGAAGGCTCAGCTCAGGGCTATTTTGTGGTGCCATGTTGAGGTTCAAGATAGGGTGATGAGGCAGGAGGAAATGTGAAGCAGTGTTATCAGATCGGACTAATCAAGATTAGTCATCCTTATCATAACATAGGGCACAATAAGGGTCTTCGATACGATTACCTCGACTAGAAAACTAGTGGTCTGACTAATTAGTCATCCGATCAAGCCATCTGGACGACTAGTTAGGCCAGCCCAAGAAATTTGTATGGTGGAAATAAGTTAGCCCACCCTTAGCTGGCCCATTAATATATATATATATATATATATATATATATATATATATATATATATATATATATATATATATATATATATATATATATATATATATGCTGTGAAGAGGGGAGGAGCAGCTGGCGCTGTTTTTCTTTACATTGTATGGGTTCTTTCTTTATCTTTACAATTTTACAGAACACAAAGTAGAAGGTTCCTTCTTTGATTAGTATGATACATACTGATTAGTAGTGCCTCTTAGCTGTACTAGTATGTGCTGCTCAAGAATCAGGAACAAACATTATGTGCTGCACTAGTATCTAAACTATAGGTTACACAATGCCTTCATGGCGCCTAGAATGTGCGTAAGGCGTCGCCTAGGTGTTGTGAGGGGGGTAGGACACAGTGCCTCGCCACAGCGCCTCAAAAACCATGTACTCCCTCCATCCCAAATTATAAGTCATTCCAAGAATCTTGGAGAGTCAAAGCATCTCAAGTTTGACCAAATTTATATGATAAGATAATAACATTTATGATGCCAACTAAGTATCATTTGATTCTTCATCAATTATATTTTCATAGTATACCTATTTGATGTCAAAAATCTTTATAGTTCTCTCTACAAATTTGGTCAAACTTGAGATGCTTTGACTCTCCAAGATTCTTGAAATGACTTATAATTTCGAATGGAGGGAGTATTTAGTTATTTACTGTGACATCCGGACCAGTTTGGAATTTGGCCCATAGTGGCCCATGTGCATGTTAATGAGATATTAATGACATATTGTGGAGAGTTTAGTCCCACCTTGGTTGTTAAAGGTGGGATAGACCAACATATAAGGCTTCTAGAGTCCATCCCACCATCCCCGCGTTAATCCTTTTACGCGAAGCGAGGACGAAAGCGTAATGGGGTGGTGGTAGGTGTGGTTCACTCAGTGTGCAGAGTGGATCTGAGCCGTTTGGACTCTAGGGCGTTACATTTACAGGCTTGTCTTCCAACGTTGCAGGAAATCCACACTACGGTACTAAACTATCAGGATTCATATACCTTTGCCCCCAGCATTAGTATTTCTGGATACATCCCTCCTGGATATAACAGGTTGAGGACTACCTTTCTTCAAAGGCAAAGGGCTCACATCAAAATCTTACTGGATAGGACTAGGAGCACATGTTCTAAAAAGGGCATGGCCATTTGTTCAGATGGATGGCCAGATGCACAGATCGGCCACCCATCGACTTTCTTGAAACTTCTGAGGGTGTAACTATGTTTTTGCAAGCTCTCAATTGTGAAGATGTAAGTCAAAGGACTACAAAGCTGAGAAGTTGATCACTGTTATTCAAGTAGGTCCAAGAAATGAGGTCCAAGCTATCACCGACAATGCTGCCAATTCATAAATGTCACTGAAGTATCTAAACTCCTTGTGTTGTGCATACACTTAATCTTGCTCTGAAGAGTATTTGTGCTGCTAAAATGACATGGGCTAATGAAGAACAAATTATCTTTGAAGAGTGTTGTCATGGACGTTGGGGTCGTGGATAACTGGACCATGGCTACATAGGTCGTAGCCTTGATCACTAGGATTGGGGCGAGGTTTTACCCCTCAGCGCCCGATTGTTGAAGGGGGTGAGATTAAGAAGAACAAGGTAGATTACGAATAGGCATATTGTCATTGCTTGCTTGATCATCCTTATTACAGGGAAATAAATAGGCTCTTGGCCTCTAAACTTAGGAGACGCGGTTACCCCTATTTTTAGGCTTGGATCAGCATGCAGCAGCACCTCAGCCTCGCCCTTCAATCAGACGGGGTCCTAGGATTGCCCATGATTGCTTGGTCTTCAGGTGCCCATGCATGCAGCCCTCCGGGCACCCATAACACTGTGGGCCCACATGACAAGTGTTAATACATGGCATGATGCTAGCAATGTTTACTGAGTCTACCACGCTGAAGCGACTTTCTATTTCCTACGTTGGATAGGCGTGAACTGTAATGTACTTTTTCTGGGTGGGTGGGTGGTGGGGAGGAGGGGGAAGGGGGGGGACAGTTACATGCTATTGCTAATACAAGATTTGCCTCAGCTGTGTTAGAGCATCTCCATGAGTACCCAATTTTTTTCCCAAAACCATTGAGTTTCCCAAGTCGCCAAAAAGTATAGGGAGCACCAAAGAAACGTTTCTCCAACAGTTTCCAATTTCACATAAGGAATCCCGAACTATTTCTAAATCACCCCAACCCCAACCACTTTTATACTTTCTTTCTCTCTTATACATTTGTATCAGAACCCTGTCCTACTTATTCTTTCCCACATCCTTCCACCTTAGATTGGTGTGACAGATCTGTAGCGTGTTATCCAGCCATGCGGGTCGATTTTTCCAAGTGCCAAAAGATTGGGAGGTGGGATTGGGAGTTGTTGGAGATGTATTTTTTTCAATCTTGCCAAAAATCATGGATTGGGAGATTGTTTTGGGAACTCTTGGAGATGCTCTTATGCTGAAGTGGTTTTGTATGGTCACCAGGCTCTTTGACAAATGGTGATTAGTGATATGTGGGAGAGCTGCAATGATGATCAAGATGGGCCGACTCAATTTATGAGTATTTAGTATGGACTTGTGGCACAATGTGAATTACATTGTTAAATTCACTGTGCCAATCTATGAAATGCTACAAGCAGCAGACACTGACACACTGTGGCACCATGCCATCACTGATTTGATTTGTAAGATGTAGGATACAATGATTGAGAATGTGAAAAAGCTATCTACAATCATGAAGGGAAGGCAGTGAAGGGTCCCATTTTTACAATGTTGTTACAGCATATCGGTTGATCGATGGGCTAAAGGTAACACTCCACTCCACTGCTTGGCACATAGTTTATGCTTCATCTCATAACGAAAACACCTTACCTCCAACCAGTTCACATGTCCCCTCGTATGGGCTCTGTCGTGGGCTCATGGCCACACCAGGAATTGGAGGCTGGCGACTGCCTCCCGCTCCCCTACAGCGGCTACGCCAATGAAAAGGTGTCGCGTGTTTCCAGCACGGTTTGGCTTTACGCTCCATCATAGTTATTTGAATCTGTTACTGGTGTCAAAATTTTATAATTTGATACTTTCTCTTGATGAACCAGAGAGATGGAGACGGTATCTTTTGAAGAGGCAGAGAACACTCTTGGAAGACAGCTGAAAATATCTAGGAGATTTATGCTCTCCCACTGTCCAAATGTCTTCTATTTAAATTAAAACCTGGGTTCGTAATGTAACTTAAGTTGAACTCCCATTCCTTACTGTTTGGCTGTTTGCTATTTGCTTGTTAATGGTTGTTTGAAGTTAAATTGCCTATTTAAACCCTAAGCTATCTCTGTTTGAACTTCATTGATGTGTAAATGCGTTAATGGTTACTACCCTGTATTGTTAGTTTGTTAAAAAAAAAATGTGCTGACTGCTCATCATGCTATTTCTTTGTCTAGGTGAATGGAGAAACTGCATGGAGGTGAGGATTACAGGTACATTTACTTAGCTTTGCACTTTACAATATCTTTTATATTTACTAATTATAAAATGCATTGCCTTGTGTCAGCAATTTTGGGAAAAATAGTGAATCGCCTTGTAATCAGTGCATCATGGATAAAGAACATCTTCAAAAGCAACTGTGCACCAATATGTGAAACGATAAACTAGAAATATTTAATTTTTGTGTATGAAATCACAAATCTATAAAAGAATAGAAAGGACAAAAGATAAGTTGGCGGGAAAATCAGTGGAAGATGGTTTGAATAAAGCATGGCTTCATTTATTTAAATACATATGATAGAGAAAGAACTGCCATTTAAGAACTTGAGATTCTTCGGTGTGGAATTCAGCAAAACAAAAGCTGTATAGCATAATGAAGTGACCTCAAACAAAACAAGCAAAACAATGGAACACCTTAAGCTCAACTAAAATTCTGAGTATAAATTATAAAGAGATCTGCTCTCAAAGAACAAGTAATCACAATTGTTTAAAATGTTGTGGTCCTATGACCAGATAAGACAATATCTTGGCACATTTTACAAACAATAGGCACTTTATTGCAAGAAAACGAATAGCTAGTTTGGAAGTATGCAGCTTATGTGAAGTTTTTGACAGCAAAAGTAATATTGGAATTTTAATCTGTTTTTTTTTTTTTTGGTATCCTTGACCAGTATTCACAACATCCACTAACCAGAAAACAAGAAAGTCAAAACTACACAGAAATTAACACCCAAAGTAACATAAGTGTGAAACAATGTCCTATGAATATTTGTCAAGCATTTCAATACACTGAAAGAATACAGATCTTTCACAGATGTTCAATGTTGTTTGAGACAGATAAATCATTAGTCCACCAGAGCACTCACCTGGCATTTTCTGCGACAACCCAAGCAATCGACAAAGTTCAGGTGTCTGACGACGACGACTGACATATGGAAGCAATTTGCACAGGTCACCTTCATTATATTCAGCAGAAATACCAAAGGTTGCCAGGAGTTGAAGAAATGCATGAGCTTCAAGACAGTTCCCATTACTAGCATCAATGTCAAGATTATCTAACTTGGACTTCCACTCAAATGCAATCTTTTTTTGCTCGCTCTCTTATATTAGTTGTAAGCATGTGCCCCTCGAAGAGAAACAAGTTATTATATCATTAGTTTGCAGCTGTCCAAGTGACTCCATCAACATAAGGCACGTCCTTCTAACACCCAGAAGGTCTCCATCCTTTTTTCCATCTAATACAAGATTATCTCCAGAATAAAAGTCTTCCAGGGAATCCAACACCAGGCCATAAGGATTAGATGTTTTCTTCAGTGCACTGGGAATTTCCTCACGGATGGCTGCCAAGTTCTTCCTGTTGTCGGATATGAACTTATGAAGCCCCTTCACATTCATTTCCTCACAGAGTGAGGCAAGCTCAGAACGAGGCCTCACTGCAGCATTACCATCTTGCAAGTGCACACTCTCTTCAGAAGCCGGTTTAGGCCACTTAACACCAAGATTATCCAGTGCCTTGTTCATTGGATTGATGGCAGGAACAGGTAAGGAAAGCCTGGACTTGCTAAAGATCATAGCTAATGCAGCATCCCTCTTCTCCTGCAACCTCTCCAAAGAGGTCAGTTCCTTGGCCACAACAGCTGCCTCCTGCTGCTCCAGCATCAGATCTGATTTTGCGACAGTCTCCTGGAACTCCTCCTCCTGCTCTTTTAGCTCGTCAAACTTTTTCTTGAGGGACTGTTCAAGGCCACGAAAGTGGTCTTCAAGCTGCTTCCACTTGAGGTTCATGGAGACAGCGCTCTGGCTCTGAAGCTCAGCAAATGCCTCCTGAAGCTGCTGTATCTTGGAGCTTGTCGATTCCATAAGGGCCGCGACGGACTCCATGTCAGGTATGGCAAATGCTCCTGCAACAAAGAAGACAGCACATCCGAAAGAGGGTATAAATCCAAACAGTAGAAACACCCAAAACCTTACAAATCATATCAATTTCTTGATTAGGGTTCTAAAAAGCGGCGCGACCGCCTTGGTGGAGCAGCGGCTGCTGGCTCCCGCCTTGGCAAGGGCGCGAGGCGACTGGTGAGAAGAGGGGGCCTGCGTGCCGAGCGCGGGTGGGTGGAGGGAGATGAAGCGCCGGCGCTGCGAGGAAGATCGGCCCCGTTGGGTTCACAGCAACCAGCTCCACCGACGTATCTCCGCAAAACGCGCTGAGAGAGAGCTGCGAGAGATGGAGGAGCTGAAAAAAGTAGATCTCACCGGCTCCTTCTCCCTTCTCACGCGGGATGGACGCCGCTGCCCCTAGATCCACGCGCTGCGGCTCCTCCTCACGCGCGTAGCCGGTAACGGAGAAGAAGCCCGGCGGCCAGGAACGACGGAGGGAGGAGGGGCGGCGATGAGAGGCGAGACGGCGCGGGAGGCAGGGCGGGAGAGGCGGAGCGGAGGAGGCGGATGCGCGCCGTCGCTCGGCGGCGCGACGGGAGGTGTGGGGCGGTGGTGGTGGTCCGAGCGGGAGCGGTGGGACGGCGGAGAAGAAAGTTCGCGGTGCTCGTGCGCGAGCCGCGGGATCCCGGTGTCCTCTCCCGAGAGAGGTGGGTGGTGGGGAAAGAACAAAATAAATATATAATAAGAAAAAAACAGAAAAAAAACAAAACAAAAGTATTATAGACATTTCAGCCTTCTCATCTATAAGGAGAAGTTGCTTTACCTTTACTAAAACAACGACGACTTCTTCAGATGATAGAGCTATTTTTTTTAAGCCGAAGCCTGCCATACAGGCCCGAAGAAACAGCAGCGGGCTGTAGGCCTTCGCTGGAGTAGTGAAAAGGTAACGTGGCATTTAGATTGTGGGAAAGGGACAATAGAAATGAGAAATAAGGGAAGGTGAATAGCATAGCCCTTGTTATGGGACAAGAAATCCTAGCCGGCTTCCTTTTTCGCTGTGGGCGCACTGGGACGGATGGGGAGCGGAGGCTAGGGAGTGTTTGTCACGGTTAGGAGTACAGCAAAGTTCCAGAAAATCCGAAATGTCGACTTGCTCGGAATGGATGATGGGACATTTCCAGCCCCAGTTTTTATCTATCTATCTATCTCACTAATTTTCCATATTTTTCTTTGTTAAATCCACACCAAGAACGTCCCGAACTTAGAGGCCCCTATCCATCGACCCACAAAACTATACCTAGAAAAAAATCTATCCTACTAATTTACCATCTTTTTCTTTGCTAAAAATTCACACAAAAAAACGTCCCCCGTTGAGAGGCCATCTATCTATCCACCCACAAAACTGTACCTACAAATAACATCTTTTAAAACGGACTATCCAGATTTATTCTCAACCTTCTCCCTCGTTACTCACTCAAATCCAACGGCCAAGATCGCGTGTGTCAACCTCTTCCCCCTACCATCCACCCTACTAATTCACCATTTTTTCTTTGCTAAATCCACACAAAAACAAACGTCCCTCACTGAGAAGCTCCATCCATCCACCGACAAAATTGTGCTAAAAAAATAACATCTTTAAAACGGACTGTCCACATTTATTCTAAACCTCCTCTCGTTGCCCACTCAAATTCAACGGCCAAGATCACGTGTCCCAACCTCCTCCACCCCTACCATCGCCCACGCCCGCGCCCTGCCAAGGTCTACTGACGCATCAATCAATTCCACGTTAGGCTAGGTGTCCCTTTCATTGATCTCGTGTTTCCTCCGTGGATCGGTTGTGCTATGTTTCGATCGTCAACTCTGCTCGTATTGCCTGTTTCTATCTCATAAATCAGATCAGATAAATTGAATCAAGCATTTTAGCGTGGTACTATCGGGAAAAGAAAAATGCAGCGAACGTCGATTTTGGTTTTGGAAGCGTTAGAATTTGTCATGTAAATTATAAATCTGCATTCATCCTGCATTTCTGCCTCTAATAGGCATAGCGGGATGCACGCGATTGCTGGGGATGCATTTTCACCCCGAAGGACACTAGAGTTTCGCCCCTGTTTCAGAGTCCAATACAAGGAGAGCGGGAATGCAAGTTCTAATAATAATACTGGATAATTAGATCAACCCAAAAACATACTCCCCGATCTGAATTATAAAAAGTTTTGACATTATTTTCTAGCGAATTTTCTAACCATCTATGGTCTGTTTTTGTTGTTCCTCATTGGTCGAATCTTTTTGTGGGCTGGCTTGTCTTCGTGGGCTACCCTCGTTCAGCACGGTTTTTATATATACGGCAAGATGAAGATATGTATCGGGTCTCCACGCTCGGAGCTTCGATATTCAAATTTTTTTGAACTCTGCGCCTCTACTGTTTCATCGTGATTCTTTTCCCCTCCGAACCTTTCCTCTCTCTCGAAATATCCAGCGCACTCTGGAACGAAATCCTCTGAGTTGCTCCCACCGACGACGCTATGCAGTCACCAGATCCTAGCCGCTAGTTGCGGATCCAACGGCAGCCTCACCAAAGTTGTGTAGCAGTCCAGTTTGAGCGGCCCATTCCAGCCCACAGCGTCCATAAACAGCAACGACCATCTCTTTTCCCTTGTGCCGTCATCCCCGTTGTCGCAGATGCGCTCCGGCTCCGTCCTCGCTCGCCACTTCCATCCACCTCCCCTCGTCATGCAAGACAGGGCGTGGCCCTCCCGGTGGCTCTGACTCGTGGCGGCACATCAGTCTTGCGCCCCGTCTAGGCCATCACACACGCGGCTATTGCTCGTCGTCTACCTCAAGCGTGCTCAGGCCGTGCTCGCTGGTGAGATGTCGACGCTCCCCTCCATCGCAGAACAAGGTGGAGCCCTTTGGCGCCTTTAGCTCCGGCTCTGAGAGATCGACTTGAGAGAAATCTGCCACCTCTAGCTGTTTGTTTAACGGCACCCATCTTAGAGTATTGCACTTTGTGTTTGTAATCCACAACTGTGTAAGCATTGTGTTCTGTATTGGAAGCATACAGGAAAAAATAGCAATTTTGTGCAGACCGCAATTGTGGAATAAATTGTGCTCCTTTTTGCAAGTTCAAAGATATGTTCAGAAGTAAGAATATATTACTGATTTTTGCAAGTTCAGAGGCTTGACAAAATATAGTACTATTTTTGGCATATGTTATAATTAAACAGGCTGAACTTTACACTTCAAGCAAAATACCAAAAGCTATTCCAGAACTAGCTCTATTACTAGAATTCAACATTAAGATCATCGGTTATTGCTCCCTGCAAAATAAAAGAATAATAATTAAACTCTATCCAGATCCTCACTAAAAAGATGGAAGATCATAGTTTTTAAATCTTGCTGTCAATAACTGAGAGTAGCTATGAATGGCCATGTAAGGTTCAGACATTCCTTCCTTGGGACAAGAAGTACTAGACCAAATATTTTCTGCTGCTACATCATCAACGGACGCCACTTTAACAGTTTGTTGTCCCTTCTACAATAGAAGAGAATCAGATAACAGTTTTTCATTGATACTAATATATTCTATGGTAGTACATACCATTGAACATTTCTCCTTTTTCTTGGTTCCTTCTTTGTAAACTTGCGCTTTTTATCAAGCCAAGTTCTTTTGCGTTTCCAAGTTTTTGTTTGCACCACTTTTTCTTTAAGCGCGCTGTACTCACCAAATCACTCACAGGAGTAACATTTGTGGGAACAGTGACTCGATCCACAGTTGGGGGAGTGCAGCCATTGATTTCTTCTTCAATTTTCTTGCTAAGGATATCAAGTGTGTCATGTACTATCAAGGAGCACCCTAGATGGCTGGCAGCTCATTGTGCCAAGCCGAGAAATTTGCGAGTCATAGATTTGTACCGAAGTGTCTCATCTAACCTTGGGTTCTTTATTATATTTTGACCTTGGTTGTCTTGTATTGCTCCACTACGTGCTTCTTTTGTCCATCGCTTCAATACATATTGAGTAGGGAGAGATTTGATATTCATCAAATCAATGACTTTTATAGCATGGCCACACAATATTCCAATTCTGTTGAATTGCCCACAATTGCATGTACTAGTTTGTTGTAACTTAGATTAAGTGAGCCACCAACTTGGAGACTAGCCAATTCATGTGCAGCTTTAGGACACTTGATTCTAAAGATATTTGGTCTTAATTCATCAGATTCTAAAGGTATTTCGACAGTCTCCCTTGAATCATGCAAAAAATCTGATCATCAGATCCTTGATCTTTGTGGTGTGCTCTAAGTTAATTTTGATCTGTTTGCTCTAACCACAGCCATAGCTATTGGCCTAGGTGATGGTGTGTTTTTTTTCTTCTTTGTTTCTACATTCTTGTATGTGGGTGTTCTTGTCTTGACTACGAGCAATGGCACTTTCGTGGATTTTAGCGAGATAGTTGAGTCAATATTCAAAGTTTCAGCTTTTTGTCGATCTTTGAAAATGTCTGCTTTGCTCGTGTCAAAACGAGGATGCGTTGGATTGTCAAATTTGTTCTTTATATTTATATGGTTGGTTGTCGTTGTCACATTATCGCGTACTTTCTAACACATTTCATATCGCAGTTACAAAGGGATTACACAAGTCTAGTACTAAGAGTCGCATTGATATGGTGGGTTTGCACTGCCATTCCGATATACTTTCTTGGCTTTCAAGAGCATTTGATCTATTACTTGCTTGCAGTAAATTAGAAACTTGGAATAGCCATGTCTGTCTCTTTGTATGATTTCAAAGTTCAGTTTAATTTAGGGCCTGTTCGTTTGAACTTATCAGCCGGCTTATCAGTTCGAATCTACAGTATTTTTCTCTCACAACAAAACAGCTTCAGCCGGCTTATCAGCCGACTTTAATACCAGTCGAACAGGCCCTAAGTTGCTGAAAGGACCTAGGATGCTGCCTAGAGGGGGTGAATAGGCGTTTCTACAAATTAACACCTTTAAATGCGGAAATAAT